TTTTTTTTATCTCCACCCCCTCCACTTACCCGAGAACTGCAGGTATACTTGTGTGAGAGATAAGAAACTACTACTTGATACTTAAATGCAGGTTAGTTCTTAGATATCCTGGTATAAACCCACGTAATGCACTCATTTGTTCCAAAAATCCTAGGTGTAGGCAGGCCGCGTAACGGATTCTGAAACGGGTCAAATATTGTTCATTCGATTGTTTTATATGAATGCGGAACAAATTTGAGATTCCGTACTGAAAATACGGACCGAGAAATGATCCTAAAATTTTAGAACTCTGTCCATCTCTGAGATAAGCAAGAAACGTATCGAAAACGATAAAAACTTGGTTCTTTCGAAGATATCAGTGTCAGACCATCGCCCATACCCATTCCATTCTTCATAAAGAGTTCAATGGTTTCACATCATTACGTTATGTTTCATGTCGGCCCGTCGATTTCGCTCCGCATTCGGAATTTCTAGATCAGTGTGTCATCTCGCCCTCAAGTATCAACTAAGCCCCACCGATATAAAAGCGATAGACGTATGATCGTCGATGTTTCGACGACCATCGCCACTCATCTATCCATCCGTCCATCCGTCCAAGGAGGATGTCGGCTGCGATTCGAGTAATCGCTCTTATCTGCTGTTTCATTGTATTTACAAACAGCTATCATTGTAGTGTTAGCGTCAGAGTTACTTCCAAAACGGACAAGAAGGTGAGCACCTAAGAAATCATCGAAGCTTCACATAGGTCACCCAGGAAGTGCACAACAAATTAACTGGTAACTCAGGGGCTCTTTCAAGTTCCAAGAGAAGCGGGAAGGCTAACCCTACTACTATATTGATTAACCCTTCTTTGTAATGCTCCTATACCGGTCCTATTGTCTCACTGAACAGCTTCTAATTGCTTTACTCAATTCTTTTTTGAATCCTCCTTATAGTCGTGGGTACTGGACTCCTGTTACTGAGTGATGGTCAGCCTAATCAGTGCTGCTCGTCTACAGGTACCCTTCATTCAAGAGCGCTTCCTAGTAGTACTTCTGTATTACAGTCTGTCTTAAGGCATATTTGGGGAAGAAGTTCCGGCACCCCTTAAAAACGAGCTGTTTGTAAACGAATGCCAACAACTGATATTCTAAGGCACAGCTGCACTTCCCTCCTTCCCCTTCCCCCTACCCTTCTCCCCTTCTNCCATTCCTACCCTCATTCATTCAGGAATAAAATTCAAATTGCAAAGATTCCAATACAAGATGGACATATAAAAACACTTGCAGAATCCTATCCTACAGTTAGCCACTTCTTGATGAAAGCCAACTCCAGGTTGAAGATAAGATGGCTGGCAAGGATATTTCGCTTCCGAGGAGTCGATATAGATCGATATGTATAGGTGTTACTAGACCAAAGGTGGGGCGGGAAATTTCGCATAAAGAGCTTAAATACGCCAACCACGCCCACCTCAATACTCACTGGTGGAGTTGGCAATTTTCTTGTTCTAATCACGCCATTTCCAATACATATTTCCTCCTTATAAAGCTACTTATGGACTTTTCAGAAACCAAAATTGTTATACAAAAAATGATTTACCCAGCTAATCTGGTTGTGGCCAACTAGGCTGGAATGCTTGCGATTTCCCTTCCACTTGGCTTCCTTTGACTAAATTTCGATGCAAATCAGCTTAATCAGATACTGTAGCATTTCAGTTCAAAGCACTTGTGGTGATACCAGCACTTGGAGTCCAATCTCTTCCAATGATATTCCGAAAAAGAGGAACAAAGAAAGTACAGGTATGCTGCTACAATTTTTAGTTCTTTTTGCAGCTTTTACAACGTAGTAATGTCATCGATAATGAAGATAAATGGCGAGGATTGTGGAAAGAAGCCATGGATGATCCGCACCTTCACATGGAAGAAACATCAATGGAAGCCGGCTAAAAACATTACGGCCAAATTCCAAGGCAATGGATGGATCAGGTAAGGTGCATCTCATTATGGGGTTACATCGTAGAAGCAAAATTTCATTGAAGGATGATTGTCGGAGATGATCTTGTACCGCATGCAATGGATAGATTCGGTATCGCTTGCTTCGAAGGAGCCTGTGGATGAAATGGCTCAAACGGGAAGTTCAACTGTGCAATACTTGATGATATCTTCATTGTTCAATACCGTCTCATTTTGCAAGGATAAAGGATAATTGATAAACTCTTTGAAATTAATCAGTCCCGTCTGAGGTATGCGCCACGCATTCGACTTCCACTCAGAATCGTAGTGGTGTAGTGAATGCGTATGTGGCCAATACTACGACATTATCTGGCCAGTCGATGTACGAGTCAGTATTTTTCGCTTCCTGACGAGTCTATCAGATTCACTGACCCCAGTGGGATGGAAAGCCCGGTTGGTGGGCGAGTATCGACCCGGGGATCGAACCCGTGACCATTCGTGTGCGATAATGCGCCTCTTACCACTACATCATCTTAGCCCTTTTCCAAAGCAGTACCATGAATTATCAAGACACTATAACCGCGCTGATCCCTTTTACTGAAAAATCTCGAAGTTTTTTAGGGTGGCTTAGTCTTATGCCTAGTGGCTGAACTTCGAAAGTTGTTCCAGCTAATTGTAATTACTGAAGTGATACCTTGAAGAAGCCGGAAGAGAACAGAGAGGCAGAAGTATTAAAAACACCTTCTAAAACGAGTAAAGAATCACTTAGCACAACTGTAAAATCGGCAAAAGTACTAGTATCAAAAGATCCTGTTGGAAAATCCGTAGCAACCACACTTTGGTGTTTCTATGGCAAAACGAAGCATCAGGCTGGCGATTTCAATTGAAACCCGTTGCCTGGAACACAAACTTCAGCTACGGATCAATTCCGAAAGTTTTTTTTCCTACTACGGCTTCGAAATGTTCGGAAGAGAATGATCTGAAACCTCCTCAGACTGCCTTATCCATCGAACAAATCAAGCAGTTATGTTGCCGACCTTTTTTCCGATTGTCTAATTTGGAAAATGCACCGACTCCGCCTGATTAAAGATTAGTTCGAGCATGAAGACGAATCTGATGGGGGACCATCATCGACTTTTCTAGAAACTGGCAAAGCGTCTGAGGCCCTTGAAACTTCAACAATTTTGCTCACACATTCGGAGCCTCATTACTTCAGCATAGGGTACAACTGCTTCAGATACAAAATAGTGCAACACAACTGTTCTTATTTACAATTTCTGAATATTTCAAAATGCTGCTATCTCTGAGCTCCATTCGAACTAAATTTCTAAATACTGATACTTTTAAAGGACTCCCACAGGGAAAGCCTCCGGCACCATAGAGAAAACCAAAGAAAAACGGGTACTATTCTACTATTACACCCCCAAAAACTCAAAATTTAAATTTTCGATGAAACTTCGTCTTTAGGGGTAATCCGATGCCCTGATAACGAATATGACCTTTATTTTTGGCGCTGGCGCCATTTGGCACAAATTGGCGCCAATTTGGCGCCAAGGGTGTTT